TACAGACCGCTGGGGGACACCACTGGCCACAGGCCTCCAACTGGACTCGGCCCCATTTATCAGCACCCTCTGAGCTCTGCCATCCAGCCAGCCCTCGACCCACCGCACCGTGCACTCATCTAGTCCACTCTCCCGGAGCTTCCGTATGAGGATGTTATGGGAGACGGTGTCAAAAGCCTTGCTGAAGTCAAGGTAGACAACATCCACGGCCCTCCCCTTGTTCAGCCAGCCTGTCATCCCATCACGGAAGGCTATGAGGTTCGCCAGACATGACTTCCCCTTGGTGAATCCAAGCTCCTCAACACCTCCGTTCTTGGCTCCCTCCGCCTCGGGGGGCACCGAGCACCGGGACGGGGTGGGGCGGGGGGTCCCGGGCGACGCAGGGCGCTCCAAGATGACGCAGAGACGATGGTGGCGGTGGCCTCTTTATTGTGTCCGGTCTCACCGCGCCCCCCCCTGCTCCCGGTGTCCCCGGTGTCCCCGGTGTCCGCGGGGCGGGGGGCTCTATGCGGGGCTGGCGGCGAGGCGGGCAGCGGGCACGCGAGGCCGCAGCTGGACGGGGCCGGGCCCGGGGCGGCGGGCGCGCGGGATCCTCACGGCGCGGTGCTGCGGCAGCGCCGGCGGCGGCCGCGCGCGGCGGAAGAAGCCGAGCTGCGGGGGAGAGGCTGGCAGGGCCGCGCTGGGGCACCGGAACCGCCGAGCCTCGTGCACCGGCACTGCGGAGCCTCGTGCACTGGTGTGCACGGGAACCGCCGAGCCTCGTGCACCGGCACTGCGGAGACTCGTGCACCGGTGTGCACGGGAACCGCCGAGCCTCGTGCACCAGTGTGCACGGGAACCGCCGAGCCTCGTGCACCGGCACTGCGGAGACTCGTGCACTGGTGTGCACGGGAACCGCCGAGCCTCGTGCACCGGCACTGCGGAGCCTCGTGCACCGGTGTGCACGGGAACCGCCGAGCCTCGTGCACCGGTGTGCACGGGAACCGCCGAGCCTCGTGCACCGGCACTGCGGAGCCTCGTGCACCGGTGTGCACGGGAACCGCTGAGCCTCGTGCACCGGTGTGCACGGGAACCACCGAGCCTCGTGCACCAGTGTGCACGGGAACCACCGAGCCTTGTGCACTGGAACTGTGGAGCCTCGTGCACCAGTGTGCACAGGAACCGCCAAGCCTCGTGCACCAGCACTGCGGAGCCTCATGCACTGGTGTGCACGGGAACTGTGGAGCCTCGTGCACCGGTGTGCACAGGAACCACCAAGCCTCGTGCACCGGCACTGCGGAGCTTCGTGCACCGTTGTGCATGGGAGCCATGGAGCCTCGTGCACTGGAACTGTGGAGCCTCGTGCACCAGTGTGCATGGGAACTGCGGAGCCTTGTGCACTGGTGTGCATGGGAACTGTGGAGCCTCGTGCACTGGTGTGCATGGGAACCGCCAAGGCTCATGCACCGGCACTGCGGAGTCTCGTGCACTGGTGTGCACGGGCACTGCAGCCTTGCACAAGTGTGCATGAGCTGCAGAGCCTCGCACAGCTGTGCACGGGTGCTGCAGCCTTGCACGAGTGTGCACCAAACCTGCAGAGCCTTGCACGCTTGTGCACCAGCACTGTATCCTTGCACTAGTCTGCACCAACACTGCAGAGCCTTGCACACCAGTGCAGAGCACTCAGCCTTGCACAAGTGTACACAATCACTGCAGAGGCTTGCACAAGTGTACACCAGCACTGCATGTACTTGCATGCATGTGCACCAGCACTGCAGAGCCTTGCATGCTTATGCACCAACACTGCAGAGCTTTGCACACTCATGGCCCAGCGTTGCAGGCCCTTGCACACTCATGCACCAACACTGCCAACCATCCTCCTTCCACCTGCACAGGGGTGGAAGGTACATCCCCTTGCACTGATGGTACCAACTCCTGCAGCCCTGAGCGTTGAAAAGCCTTGCACACCCTTGCACCAACACTGCAGAGCCTCCTCCGCCCGCCACGGCACTGCAAATCCCCGCCCTGACGGTGCAACCCCTTGCACACTCATGCACCAGCACTGCACGCCCTTGCACCAACAGTGCAGCCCCTCGCGCGCCCGCGAGGGACCCGTGCGCCCCGGCACCGGGGAGCCCTCACGGACACCGGGTGCCTCCCGCATCCCTGCGCCTGGTGTCCCCGTGTCCCCCGTGTCCCCGGCTAGGCCTGCGCCTGCTTGTCGCGCTCCGAGGGCTGCAGGCCCCGCCGGGCCCGGTGGTAACTCGTGGCGTAGGGGGGTGCCCGGCTGCTCCGCTGGAAGAAGCCGCACTGGGGAAGAAGCGACAGGGTGACAGGCTGGGCAGCAGCGCAGGGCCTGGTGCCATCGCATGGGCTGGGCCGGCATCGCGTGGAGGGGGTGGCACCGCATGCAGCGAGTGTGGGGGGTGGCATGGCATGGAATGGGGTGACACTGCACGCGGTGGCATCGCATGCAGTGGGCGGGTGGCATCGCATGGGGTGGCATCACACACACAGGGTGGCATTGTGCGGGGTGGCGGTGCACACGCTGGAGGTGGAATGGAGGGGCACGTGGTAAGGGGTGGCATTGCACAGGGTGGCAGGGCATGAGGTGACGAGCTAGCAGACAGAGTGGCACAAGGCGGCATGGGGCGGGGGACTGGCTTGGCGCAGCAAGAGGTGGCACTGAATGAGGTGACGTGGCCCAGGGTGGCTCAGCACGAGGATGACGCTGAATGAGGGGACACAGTCCTTGTCGACACAGCACAGCACCCCCACAGTGTCCTGATGTCACCTGCCTGTGTCCACCCCTGTCACCCCCATGCCCTGTCCCCGTTGTCCCTGTCCCCGCCACCCCGCTCACCTTCCAGAGGACGAAGACGAGCAGGGCCAGGACGAGGACGCCGGCCAGGACAGCCAGGACAATGACCCACCAGGGCACCCCCCCTGCCACCGCGGCGCCGGGGTCCAGGTACACGGAGACGGGGATCTGGGGACACCCCGGGGTGAGGGCGGCCGCGGCGGGGCCGCCGCGGGGACCCGGGGACACCGCCCCCCCCCACCTGCGTGGAGGCGTCCTTGAGCACCAGGTTGGTGACAGCGGAGGTGACGGACACGCTGGCCCTCACAACGAGCTCCACGGAGGTCACGGCCAGGAACTCCTGCGCCGAGCGGGCCGGGGCTCAGCGGCGGTGGCCGGCGGGGACGCGGGGGCGGCCGCGGCGCCCCGGCCCCGCTCACCTCCAGGAAGGTGCTGTTCCAGAGGCGCCCGCGCGCCCGCAGCACCGCCGCGCGCTCGAAGCTGTGCAGCGGGCACCGGAACGCCAGGCAGCTGGCGGTGCCCTGCGCGCAGTCCTGCGCGGCACGGGGGGCTCAGCGGCACCGCCGCGGCGGGGACGTGTCCCCCCCGGTGTCACCCGCGCTCACCAGCGTGATGTTTTTGCGCCGCTCGGCTGCTGCCGGCAGCCACCAGGAACCCGAGGCCGGAGCCTCGCTGGGATTGGCCTCCCCTGGAGACTCCTGCGGGGAGAGGAGCCGATGGGACCTGAGGAGCGGCTCCTGACACGGGGGACACAACACAGGGGGACAGAGAGACAGAGGGCATGGAGAGATGTGTCCGAAAGGGATGCAGGACGGAGGGATGCAGGATGGACGGAGGGATGCAGGACGGAGAGACAGGATAGAGGGATACAGGATGGAAGGATGCAGGACAGAGGGGTGCAGGATGGAGAGAGGCAAGATGGAAGGATACAGCATGGAGGCATGCAATAGAGGGATGCAGGACGGAGGGAGGCAGGATGGGGGGATGCAGGATAGAAGGATGCAGGATGGGGGGATGCAGGGTGGAGGGAGGCAGTAGAAGGATGCAGGACAGAGGAATGCAGGACAAAAGGATGGACAGAGGGATGCAGGATAGAGGGACGTAAGACAGAGGGATGCAGGAGGGAGGAATGTAGAATGGAGGGATGCAGTAGAAGGATGCAGGACAGAGGGATGCAGGACAGAGGGATGCAGGACGGAGGGATGCAGGATGGAGGGATGCAGGACAGAGGGAGGCATAATGGAGGGATGCAGTAGAAGGATGCAGGACGGAGGGATGCAGGATGGAGGACTGCAGAATGGAGGGATGCAGGACGGAGGGATGCAGGACGGAGGGATGCAGGATGGAGGGATGCAGAACGGAGGACTGCAGAATGGAGGGATGCAGGACGTAGGGATGCAGGACGGAGGGATGCAGGACGGAGGGACACGGCCTGGGGGCCACGCTGCAGACGCAGGCGGGACGGGGGACACGACGCGGACGGAGGTGGCCGTGGCCCCGCGCTGGCGGCCGCACCAGGGCCAGGCGCAGCGGGTTGGCCGCGGGGCTGCAGGCGGCCGGGGCCGCGGGCGGCGCCAGCAGCTCCAGCTGCAGCGGGTAGAGCAGCCACTTGCCGCTGCGCAGCTCGTGCGGCCACAGCAGCGTGAGGAAGGCCGAGCCCAGCGTCTTCAGCGACTGCCCCCGGTTGGAGACCTGCAGAGAGAGGCGGGGGGACATGAGCAGGGACAGCATGAGGACATTCCCCCCCTCCTTCCCCAGCAAGGGGCCCAGGCGTCCGGGCGACTCACCGTGACCTCGTAGCGCACGGCGCTGCCCACCTGGCTCTCGCGCCGCATGGCGCTCTCGCCCCGCACCGTCCCGCTGAAGAAGAGCCGGGGCGGCACCGCCACCCTGCGGGGACGGGCAGCGTCACCCACGGGGGCCTGTCCCCCCCACACCCCCGCCCCGCCGTCACCCTCCGCGCTCACCCCGTCACCGAGAGCGGCAGCTCGATGACAACCCGCGCCCGGGCCACCACCGGCACCAGTCCCGGCTGCTCGCTGATCCTGCGGGGACGGGGAGGTGACACAGGGGGACAGGGGGTGCCACCCGCCCCGTCCCCTGTCCCCGCAGCTCACGTGGACAGGGCCAGCTCCACAGCCAGGTCCTGCGTCTGCAGGGTGATGCCCAGCGTGCTGAGGATGAGGTAGAAACGGACCTAGGGGGCAGAGCGGGGTCAGGGGGGGCAGCCGGGGGGGCCGTGGTGGTCGGGGGGGGGTCACAGGAGCTGCCCCCACCTGGGTGCCACGCGGCAGCGGGTTGCCCAGCTCGCACTGCACCTGGGAGCCGTTGGCGTTGGCCACGCAGAGCAGCGGCTTGTCCTGCGGGGGGGATCAGGGACACGGCCAGGGGCTCTGCCCCCCCTGCGCCCCCCGCGCTGACCCCTGTGCCCCCCGGAGTCACCTCTTCCCCCTGCCAGACTCACCCCCTGTGTCCCGCCCAGCCGGACTCCTGCAACCCCCAGACTGGCCCGCTGCACCCCCTGGATTCACCTCTGCACCCTCTGGACTGACCCCTGCACCCTCCCAAATTGCCCCCAGATCTCCCGTCCCTGGGCCAACCCCGTCGGTCACCCTTGGGATCCCCCCATTCCTGGCCACCCGCGGGATGCCCCATCCCTCAACAAAGCACCCCAGGTCCCTCCATCCCTTTGCACCCTGAGACTCCTCCTATCCCTCTTCACCCCCTCCTTGACCTTCCCCCTGCACCCCAAGACCCCCCAAGCCCTGTGCCCTGCACCATCCCTCGACTCTGCACCCTTGGGGTCCCCCCATCAACGGGCACCCTCAGGACACCCCAACACTCCAGGGTCTCTCTGCACCCCCGGGATCCCCCTGGGGTGTCCCTGCACCCCCAGGCTGTACCGTGGGCGCGCGGGCGTCGTAGGGGCGCACGGCGGAGTAGGGCAGCTCCTCGGGGAAGGTGGCCGTCAGCAGGGCCTCGTGGGCATCGTCACCGTCCCGCTGCGGCGCCGCGGGGTCCGAGGGCAGGTTGGTGACGTGGATCTCCAGGGCCACGTCCTTCTGGTCGCTCATGGCAAAGGTGGCGGTGCCGTCGGCGTCCCTGCGGCGGGGGGGCAGCGGTGGTGACCCCCATGTGGGGACAGCAGGGGTGCCACCCACATGGGGACAGCATAGGTGACATGCACGTGGTGATGGCGCTGATGACATGCACGTGGGGACAGCATTGGTGGCCCCCATGCGGGGACAGCATGGGTGGCATGCCCGTGGGGATGGCATGCACATGGCGATGGCACGGATGCCGTGCACATGGGGACAGCATAGGTGACATGCACATGGTGACGACACTGGCGACATGCACAGGGGGACAGGAATGTGGCCCCCATGTGGGGACAGCGTGGGTGGCATCCCCATGGGGGTGGCACGGGTGTCATGCCCATGGGGGTGGCATGCACGCAGGGACAGCGCTGGCTGCACGCCGTCCTGTGAGGCCGGCGAGGGGACACGGGGAGGGGACAGCGCCGCGGCGCCGCTCACTTGGGCAGTGGCAGGAAGTCGGCGTCGCCCAGGCGGGAGCAGAACTGCGCCCGCAGCCGCAGGTTGCTCTGGCAGACCTTGTCGTCGCCGCAGCCCTGCTTGAGGAAGTGCACCTGGCCGGGGGACACGCGCTGAGCCGGCGGGCAGGGTGGCACCGGCGCCCGCGAGGACGTGCTCTCACCTCGCTGCGCTGGCTGCGGCGCTGCTGGGCACCCAGCACGGGTGGCAGCGGCGGCAGCGCCGCGCGGGCCGCCCGCCGCAGCGCCCGCGCCTGCTGGATGCCGTAGGCCAGCGTGACGCCGATGGGGCGCAGCTTGTCCCGCACACCGTCCTGCAGGCACCGCGTCGCAGTGAGCCCCGTGTCCCCTCCGCGCGCCCGGACGCGGGCACGGGGACAGGGACACACCTGGAGCTGGAAGGTGGCCTGGGCGCAGGCGCGGGCGCCCGGTCGCGGCAGCTCCACCGTCCCCGAGAGCTGGTGCTCGGGGTCCGCGGGCCGGCGGTGCAGAAAGGCGGCGCGCGGCGCTTGGCCGCGGCGGCGCCGCTCCGTGTCCACGTCCAGGACGTATTCGAGCGCTGTGGGCACAGGGACGGGCACACGGTGCTGTTGGGGAGCAGTCCTGGGCGCAGCCCCCGCGGTGTCCCCGGTGCTGGCCGCACTCACTGAGCCGCGGGCTGTAGCCGGCAGCGCTGGCCGTGTAGCTGAAGCAGGTGCTGACGTCCACGCTGCGGGGTGGTGAGCACGAGGATGGGGATGGGGATGAGGTGGGAGGCTCCTGGGACCCCCCGCCCCGGCCACCTCCCTGCATTCGCACCCACCAGACGCCCTCGTGGTGGCGGCAGTTGCTCTGCTCCAGGTCGATGGCGGGAGGCGTCAGGGTTACGTTGTGCGAGACGTGGACAACGGGCCGGGCACTGCGGGCGGCACCCAGAGGCTCCACTGAGACCCTGCGCCGGGCTGCCCGACAGGGCACAAGGGGAGCAGGGTGAGGGATGCTCTGAGATGAGGGATGCTCTGCAATGGGAGATGCTCTGGGATGAGGGATGCTCTGGGCTGGGCGGGGCCCAGGAATGAGGGATGCTCCAGGATGAGGATGCTCCAGGATGAGGGATGCTCTGGGATGGGAGATGCTCCAGATGGAGAAATGCCTCACGGAGGGTTGGGAAAAGCCATGGGAGGGGGGTGCTCTGCCCTGGGAGACACCTGGGATGCTCTGAGTTGGGGGATGCACAAGGATGAGGGCGCTGGGGACACCCCCGGGCAGGGGGACGCGCAGGTTTGGGGCCACGGCAGCACCGGCGCCTACCGGAACAGAACCACGGTGTCGGAGAGGGAGCCGACGAGCAGGTCAGGGTAGAGGTTGTCATCCACGTCCAGCCCCCCCGCGATGGCGTAGCCGAAGGCCGGCACCCCCACGGCCTCCCCGTCCAGGACCTGGGCGCGAGTGGCCGCCAGCCGTGAGCGCGGGGATGCCCCAGGGTGCCGGGGGGACTGGGGGCACTGTCACCTGTGCCGGCTTGGCCACGATGCCCAGCTTGCTGCCGTGATAGATGTAGACTTTGCCAGCACCGTCGAAGGGGGCCCCCACAGCCAGGTCTGTGAGCGGGGGGGGACACGGTGCCATCAACACGGGACACCTGCAGCCCCCCGGCGCTGTCCCCAGCGCCCCCCTCACCACTGAAGCCGTCCTGGTCGAGGTCGCCGGCGGCGCTGAGCGCGATGCCGAACATGGAGCCGTAGGTGCCGTTGAGGCGCAGGGGGGTGGCGGCCGCCCAGCGCCCCCCCGGGTTGATGTAGATGTAGGCAGCCCCCCCGATCTCCTCATGGCGCTCGAAGAAGTGGGGGGCGCCCACGGCCAGGTCCATCCAGCTATGAAGGGCAGGGAAGAGTTGGGGGGGAAGGGGACATCAATGCGCTGGTGTCCCCAGCCCCGTCCCACAGCCCGGCGCTGTCCCCAGGTGTCCCCAACCCCGTCGCACAGCCCGGCGCTGTCCCCAGGTGTCCCCAGCCCCGTCCCGCAGCCCGGCGCTGTCCCCAGGTGTCCCCAGCCCCGTCCCGCAGCCCAGCGTTGTCCCCAGGTGTCCCCAGCCCCGTCCCGCAGCCCGGCGCTGTCCCCAGGTGTCCCCAGGCCCATCCCGCAGCCCGGCGCTGTCCCCAGGCGTCCTGCGCACCCGTCGCCGTTGAGGTCGAGCACGGCCAGGGCGTAGCCGAAGGCAGAGGTGAGCTGCTCGCCGGGCAGCACGGCCTCGGGCACGAGGCGCTGGGCGCTGTCCCGGCGCAGGATGACCACGGCACCCGTGTGGTTGGCGCGCGGTGCCCCCGTCACGAAGCTCAGCTCGTGCCGCCGCGTCAGGCCCCGGCCCGAGTCCACCGAGAAGCCTGGGCCGGTGGGGGGACATGTGGGGTCTGGGCACCGGCCCGAGCAGCCCCGTCCAAGCTTCACACCCAGAGATTCCTGCCTGCAGCATCCCGAACCGAACTTCCCATCTGGAGCATCCCACCCTGAGCATCCTGCTTGGAGCATCCCACCCTGAGCATCCCACCTTGAGCATCCCTCCTTGAACAGCCCACCTGGAGCATCCCATCCTGAGCATCCCACCCCCAGTATCCCACGCTGAGCATCCCTCCCTGAGGATCTCTTCCCAAACATCTTTCCCCGGGCTCCCCAGCCTGCACATTCCTCCTGGAGCATCCCCCCTGGCATTCCCGGGATGCAGAGCCATGGGATGGATGTCCATACGTGCCCCTTGCCCCCCCCATCCCCATCCCCATCCCCGTCCCCATCCCTGTCTCTCTCTCTCTCCGCTCGGACCCATGCGTGGCCAGGGCTCCAGCTGGGCCTGTTTCCCTGCTCTGCCCTTGGAGGAGAGAGGAGAGATTTGGGGGCAGAAGGGAGGATTTAGGGGGCAGAAGGGAGGATTTAGGGGGCAGAGCAGCAAGGCCCAGAGCAGGATTGCGGGGGTCTGGGGGGGTCCTGGGTACCCCTTTCTAGCTGTAGCACAGCC